GTTTTCCAGTTGGTCGAGTAATATATTGTGGTCAACTGTGTCGAACGCAGCACTGAGATCAAGTAAAACTAAGACTGAGGTTCTGCCACTGTCTGTGTTTAAACGGATGTCATTAAACACTTTAACCAGAGCTGTCTCATTGCAGAATATCCTGTCTTCTTTTCCAAGCTTTTGAAACAAAATTATCAAGTTTAAACGCATCAAACTTACACAGCCATTCCATTTCCACACATCTCTACTTCATGAAACAATAATTCTCTTAAATCATCAGCTTTTGTACAATGCAAAAGAAAATGGGACTCCGTTTCAACTTCGCCCAAATCACACATCTCTCAAAGTCTGTTTTCTACTGGAATGTTTTTGAATCGACCGACTTCAACAGCCAGAGGGAGAATACCAGATCTTAAATGTGCGACCAAGGACCTTTGGCTTCTAGATAAACGACACGTTACATGTATATGCTTGCTAAACATTAAATAACAAATCCTTTGTCAATGGCTGTCTCCATGAATTCCTCTTTTTCAGCTGGTGATGTGCTGTTAAACGACACCCTGCATGCAGATCATGGGGCCCAAGGTTGGTGCTCGTTTGTTTGAACATTCACAATGTCAAGAATAACTTAAAAGATTCCCCAAAACTTTTTATTTAACGAGTTTGTCAGGTATTTTTTAACAAACAATCCAAACTCATAAAAATGTATAAAATGATTATTTTACCACCATAATCTATTTTTCTTTAAATGTTACCCACAATGCAGCAGTTCAGGATTCAGGTGTGTACTCATTGGAGTGTTAATGATTAAAGACTGTTTGCTTTACAAATACAAGAAATAAGGGATGTTTTTTTTTTTTCCAGGTGAGGTGTCCATGAAGCTTAAACCTGAGCTGAGAGCCAGTGCAGAAACCTTGGCGGGTAAATCAGAAAAACAACCAAAATCCAGATCAGAAGATGTTTGTGAAAAGCAATGAACACTAACCAAATACTTTATTCTACTTTGACTTTCTGTAGATCTTCAGGAAGACATGATTGTCCAAGAGGGAGACATTTTGACACAGGTAAGATGGAGAAGTTAGAATATGATAAGAACGAAAAGCTACAGCTTTCTGGGGACTTGTCACATGGGGGGATGGGGGTCCCCCGGAAGCTGGCAAAAACATGGTGCATCCTACATTTAAGCAGTAACCACATTATATTTCAAAACTAAATACCAAAATAATTATTTATTGTTACAAGTTTCTAAATGTAACGCTTCATGCTAACACTCCCGAGCGCTTTTCTGACCCCCGGATAAAACGCCAGGTGGACACGGGGTCTTAGTAAGTCTTTCAGAGTCCTGGCTGATACTCTAAAGATGACACGATTACAAAACACATTCTTCCAGACGGTATTCAAATTTTGTGCTGAGACAGATGAATGATCATCAGGATGAAGTGAAAGCTGACATGTCGATAAACAAGTGTGTCCAAAGCTGCAGACTGTACAGGAGAACAGGAATGCTGTGGAGATGCTGTGGTTGGACGCGATCGTGCCGTACGTCATCAGTGATGAACTCGGTGAATTTGTTGTCTTAAGTAGAACACTTTTTTTTTTTTTTAATAAAAGGAGATACAGTAGGTGATGATTTCTGTCATTCTTTCTTGCAGCTCATAAAGAGGGGGACTTCCACACTGCGTTCCAGATGATTTCGGATTACACGTGTATTCACTTCGTGCCGCACACCAACGAGTATAACTACCTGGAGTTCAAGACCGGCAAGGGGTGAGAGATGAGCTCTGGGAAAATGTCAGGTCGGATGAGTGGTGATACGTCCACCGGAGAGAGTGGAAGGTTTTTGACTATCTAGTCGTCTTGTTTTGCGTCTCCAGTTGCGCCTCGTTCGTTGGCTGTCGTGGAGGAGCTCAGCCGCTGTATCACTCCCAGAAGTGTAGCGTCGGAAATCTCTGCCACGAGATCATTCACGCTCTGGGGTTACATCATGAACACACACGCAAGGACCGGGATGATTACGTCGCCGTGCAGTGGGACAGTATCATGCCAGGTAAAACACCTAAACTGACTGTAGAGGTCATGGACTGTATCATAATAATATAACAGTCGATGCTTAAGGTTTCACTTCTGACCTGTGTGTAAAAGAAATGGACGTAGCCTCCAGGTTTGAAAATGGAGGCCAATGTGGAACTGCCTTACACCTGTAGTATTTCTTTCTTCATGGCCAGCAGGGGGCGACTCCTGATGTGTCACAGTGTCTAGAAGTCTGACTTTACTTTTAGGTGATTTATTACCTCAATAACTAATTTTCTCACCAGTTTAGCTTCTCAAACACCTGATTAAACCTACATGGGCAGTAAGGGTATAACACATGGTATGCTTTATAGAAAGGCCATCTTGTGATTGACAAGTCTCCTCCACAGCAACCTCTCACTAAGGATAGAAGTTTAGCACTCTTTATTGTCGAGATGGGAGAGTGGAGAATAACATGCGGGGAAAGGAGTCACCGGTCAGATTCCCCACACTTAACCACTACTGGCACCCTAAATAATGACAGGTTAAGTTACATGATGTTGGATGGTTTAACTTGTTCTGCTGCAGCTGTTGAGGTTGCTAGGTGACAGAAGTGGCACTTAGTAACGAATGTGTGAAGGTAAAAAGGAAATCCTAAAGGATGCTAACCCTGAACCGGGGTACAGCAGTGGCCACATTTGGCTAAAAGTGTCAAGTCTTATGGCTTCAAAGCTGAAATCGTATTTCTTGCATCATAATGGCAATGCGTCCACTTCTTGTGTACATCCTAAGGTTCCTTAAACACTTTCATGTTCTTACTTTAGACTACATGGGGCAGTGGGAAAGCCTTCCAACAACACTCGGGTGTGTTTCTTTAAAAATATAGCATGAAAGGTGCTGAACATCTGGAATTAAATATTTGATCACTGCTGCTGTATTTTCCATTTTTATCTGCATGGCTTCTTAAGTCTGAGACATTATTAATGATTCTGGACATTTTTGATTGCAGGCAGAGAGAAGAACTTCGCGCTGAAATATGGAAACACTCAGAATCTGCCGTACGATATCAACTCCATAATGCACTATGGATCGTAAGTCATGACCCATAGTTAAGTCAACCTTTTTAACAGAAGAGCATTAAAGTGAGCGGGAGTCCTGCCAGCTGTTCTGTTGTCTGGAGGACTAGAGAAGAAGAACATTGATTTCTCACTGATTATTTTGATGTCATGTGAGTGTGTTTAAATCACGATCATTAGCATGCTAACACAACAATGCAGGACACGGCCAATAGCAGCTCGAGCCGAGGACAGTTTTGTCCACCGCTTGCGCTTCATGATGCGTAATTATGGTGCATTCTTATTGATGACTCATTTTACGCCAACTCGAGTGGAGAGGGTTCGACGGTGTCTCGTTTGAGGAGACGGGAGGCTTCAGAATAGCGGTGGTGTGGCAGTTTGTTTTTGTTTCATGCTGGTGCTCAAGGGGTGACATCTACTGGATCAAAAAGTTGCACATTCTTCCTTTTTTTTATTTTTTATTTTTTTTAAGCCAGTGCAAAAAAACGTACAAAAGGATATTCTTGTTTCTTGCAATTTTGATATTGATTAAAAATATATTTTTGTTTCCTCGAAGGTATTTTTTCAGTGTAGACGGAAATCCGACCGTGTTGCCCTTCGAGGTTGGAGTTCAGATGGGTCAGAGAACTCACCTCAGTCATCTGGACATACAGAGGATAAACAAACTCTACCACTGCGGTGACAACACTCAACTGATATATGTATCACCTGCAGGTTTCATTTTTACAATCTACAAGCTGATCAAATGTATGTTTCTTCTTCCAGATGAGCGGAAGAAGTGAACCCACACCATTTTGGTTAACCTTCATTTGCCCTGAAGTGCAATAAAATTTTAAACCTCCAACTGTTTGTTTTTTTCAGGATATGCAACATAACATCTGTTGAATTATGTCTAGACACACATTGCCAGAGAGGCAGGGCTTCAAAATGTAACAAAAGTCGATGTGAGATGTTTGGTACTATTCGAGGATCTATTTGTGGTTTTTCCCCTTAATGTTTGAGAGGTACCTGTGGGTGGTGACTGGAGGGTCGTTTCTTTATAAAGCCAGATTATTTTTCTTTACACTGTTTTGCTTTTGAGGTAACATCCCCAATTACTCTTGGATGCCATTTTTTTTATTTGTGTGTGTGTGAGCTTAAATGTTTCGGTAAATCTGAGAAGCCCAAACAAACCTGACTGACCCCGCCCACTGACAGAGATGAAGTTTACACCTGATCATGTTTAAAAAAAAAAAAAAAAAGGTTACGAGTTAAGTCATATATTAATCTTAAACATCCTGTATAGACACTTCTGCTGTTTTGGCAGCCTTGAATAATATTCCTCAGTGAATTCAAAGAATAGTTTTTATTATCGCTCTGTGAACAGCAGGCAAATAAAACATGTCTGACAATGGGCATTCAGTTATTTAACGGCCATTGTTCAGAACAGTAGAAGCCTTTTGTGCTTGAACTTGCCCGACATATTACAGACCACACAAGTCTGTTGGTGTGAGCGTCTGTAGGTGGAGCTATGACAACAGATCTTCCCCTAAACACAAGGTGAAGGACATGCATATACCTGATGGAGTCAAAGTGAGGCGGCCGTCACTTAATGTGCATTTAACACTTACAAGTGAGACAAATCCCTTCTTTTAAAATTATAAACTTATGGAAAACTTTAAGGTCAACACACCTGGCTTACTCTCACATTATTTGTGTGTGCACTTATTAATCCGCCTAAAGTGCAGCACATTTTATTTTTTTCTTTTAAAATATTTACAAGCAGTGAGGCGACAGAGCTCAGCAGCATGTTTAAATTTGAAGTGGATGAGGTCTCTTGTTAGTGATCTGGCACACTCTCCGTGTCTGTGGGCGGGGAGACAAAGTGTCAGGTTTTGTTTGGTGCTTCTCAGATTTACCACGTAAACACTTACTCAGCTCACACACAAACAAGGCTGCAGTGAGAGCTGCATGTTTGTAAGGTCGGGACCCACATTAGTGCTTCCAGCCTCATTTGGGACAGGATTTATAACTCTGGAGAGAAGGAAGGTGGAGGGGAAGTTTACACAACCTTCTTTGATTCATCTCTGGGTAACTTTTTTTTAAATAATTATATCAAATTTGATGATTTATAAAAACTCCTCCAACATAAAGGAAAGATCTGATGTTGACTCTCCTGTTTTTGTGATGCTCTTATGTAGTGTAAAAATGCTGCATGGCTGCCTCCCTGGTGTTCAGACTTCACGACAAAGGTCCCAAGCTGGTGCGGGAGGTGCTTCTCGAGCGAGGATGGGAGGAATACGACGAAGAAGAGAGAGAGGACGAGGACTGGAACCTGTACTGGAGGGGCTCTGCCTTTCGAAACGCCCAGTATCACAACCTGTTGCCATGGCAGCGACTCAACCACCATCCCAAGACTGCTGGTATCACACGCAAGGTGATCGTCTGAAATGTGTGTTTAAAAAAAAAAAAGTCAGAGATTTTGGTAGCGTCCAGAGGTGCGAGTAGTTAAAGCATTAAAAAAGTGATATTTTTGCACGGCTTAAAAACAAGGCTTTGTCGATCCTGCAAAATCATAAAAATGTAAAAAACTAAAGTTGACTTATGGTGTGTAGCAAAGCCTTCTTTCTGCACTGAATTTCTTAATTAACAAAAGGTAAAGATATGCAGTATACCCTGGATATACAGCTGGTTGAAGCTGTTTTAAACTTGGAAAAAAAGTGTTACGGGGCTAACACCCCACAGCTAAATGCTATCCTAGCACCCGTGAAGTGTTTTCAAACGTTACTTCAGATTCAGTCTCTCAGGTGTCTGCGTCCTCGCGTCTCCCTCGTGGCGTCTCTTCGACTCAAAACCAATCTCCGCCGGCTCCTGTGCAGGTGCTGCTAATGAAGGTTACAGAGACAGAGCCACCACACCCCCCTCAGGTGTGTCATCAGTACTGACCCTGCTTCTCCTCCTACCAACCACACCTACCGCTAAAGACACTGAAGTGAATCCTCCAAACGCATTTTCATAACACTAAGGTTCAAAGCCTATCTATGATCCTCCCTCAACATCTAACCTCTGACTACTTTATTTCTCCTCATCATCATACAGTCAAGACAAAAATAAGTTTAAACTCAAGCAGTAGGGGGCGCTTGGTGGTGCAGTGGTTAGTGCATGCACCTCATGTACATTTATTCAGTCTGGCTTTTATATATATTAAAATATTAACATTACTGTTTTGTATTTTTTATCCTACTATAATTCCAAATATTCTTCTATGTATTAATTTTAATATCTTATTGCTTTTATGTGTCGTATTTTATTTTTTCATTTTTATATATATATATTTTTAATTCTTTTTGGTGTGCATTAGTCTCTCATTGATTTTATAAACTACTTTTTCATCGATAACTTTTCTGCACTCTTGTAAAGCTGCACTTTAATTTGTCTGAAAGGTGCTATATAAATACATTTTGATTGATTGATTGATGTATGGAGGGCTGTGGTCCTAAGGCGGGGCGGCCCAGGTTTGAATGTCATTCCCTACTCTCTCTCTCTCCCTGATTTCTAACTCTATCCACTGTCCTATCTCTCCATTAAAGGCACAAAAAGCCCAAAAATAAATCTTTAAAACAAAATAAAAACCTTCAAGCCGTAAATATGTGCAGGACTCATATGAAGGCACCATTTCCACCTCTTCTGTTCAACGTCATATTCATGATTAAATAGTTATTTTTTTTGGCTTGATATGATCAAAAATAACATTTGTTATTTTTTTTTTAAAGGACTGCTTGGCCCGCAACCTGAGGAGGATGAGAGCCACATTCGGTTCGGCTCTTTATGACTTCAGTCCCGTCGCCTTCATCCTCCCCAACGACTACACCCGCTTCCTGTCTGAATACGACAAACTGCGCCCGTCCCGAGGACCTCCGGCGTACTGGATATGTAAACCTGTAGATCTCTCCAGAGGCCGGGGAATCTTCCTCTTCGAGGACCTCAAAGACTTGGTCTACGACTGCCCGGTGATCGTGCAAAGGTACATCAGCGACCCTCTGCTGATCTCCGGCTACAAGTTCGACCTGAGGATCTACGTTTGTGTAAAGAGTTTCCACCCGCTGACGGTTTACATCCACCAAGAAGGCCTGGTGCGCTTTGCCACCGAGAAGTACGACCTGGCATCGCTGCGGAACTTTTACGCTCATCTGACCAACACCAGCATCAACAAGTTGGGCCCGTTCTACAGGACAGAGAAAGAAAGAGTCGGCCGAGGGTGCAAGTGGACCATGAGCAAGTTCAGGCATTTTCTTCACAGCCAAGACGTCAACCAGAATCTTTTATGGCAGAGGATCAACAACATCGTGACCCTGTCCCTCCTCACGATCGCTCCATCCGTCCCTTCCTGTCCCAACTGTCTGGAGCTCTTCGGCTTTGACGTCCTCGTCGACGTTCGGTTTAAACCTTGGCTGCTGGAGGTCAACTACAGCCCGGCGTTGACTCTGGACTGCCCAGCTGATGTCGCAGTGAAGAAAAGGCTGATCGGCGATCTCGTCGATCTGATGAACTACACGTTGGTCGACGGCTTGAGAGAGAAGGCTTATCAGAGACGAGGGTGCGAGAAGTCTCGGTTCCACGCTAACCTGCCCGCAAATTCTTCAATACCCGTGTTCCCAAAGTTTAAGAAACCCAAATTCCTAAAGCAAAGTAGTGGAACCCAGCCGTTGCAAACTCAGGCACTTCCTGTTCTTAAAACGAATCACCGGTTTGAAAAAAGACAACACAAGCAGAGTTCTGTTGTAGCTTACACTCAAAGATTTCTTCCCCCAGTTGACTTAAACAAGAGACAGGCAACCGGGGACAGGATCATTGCCAAAAACCAAAGGGACAAGACCCTGAACTGGATACTCGGCCCACATTCAAGGACAAATGTGACGACGGTAAACAGACAGGCATGCCCAGCTCTTGCTGCGAGGCTGACGGACAACAGAAGTCTCCTCAAGTCTGAGGTTACAAACTGTGACGACACTGAAACAGAAGCTGAGGCCGATGGGCTCTCAGCAGAGACAGACGTTTCCTCTTCGGTACTTGATACCCCACAGAGGGGGCATGGACTCAGATGTCCTGCTGTGCCCTGGAAGCTCCCAGACATTCACAGGTTTGTACACGACTGCTGGTTTTTATAACCCTTCACATCCTGAAAATACTGATTGATACACTGAATCAATTAGAGATTTTTTTCTTAGCTCACAGGCTATGTCCATCCCATGAATCCATTATCTAAACCGATTATTTAGTTCAGGTTTGTGGTAGGCTGGAACCGATTCCAACTATCAATGGGCGAGAGGTGGACCTTTAAGAAAAAGCTAAAGACCCAGCTCTTTATGAATACCTACTAACTTAATGATGATGGTCTCCATATTATTGATGATGATGATGGTTGTGACGATGGTTTTTGTTTGATAACGACGACTTATAAGATGGTTTCTATACTGATTAGAGCTCTCAAGAACTGCCCTCAATGTTGTGTTTGCCTCTGGTCACTTCCTGTCAGCACCTGTGTGTCCAATCAGACTCAAAGCTGATCGTTTGCTCTTACTGACATTGTTCCCTTTTTTCTAGATCCTTGCTTGTGTTGTTCTTACTCTCTGATGTACGTCGCTTTGGATAAAAGCGTCTGCTAAGTAAATTGTAGAATTGTAGTAAATAGAAGGCTATTATTTTAGTAAAAATGTAATTTCCTACAGTAGCCCTATTCAGACTGCCGTTTCAAGCCGTGATATTTACGCCCCTGTGACATTTAGCCTTCAATCTGAATGTTGGAAAGGCGTAATGGGGGAGGGGACCAAGTGATGCCCCCTTTGTACCAGAGAGAGATGGTTTCAACAGAGCCAGCTGGGAGAAAAAATGACATCAACTTTTTGTCCTTTAGGTGTCAGCTTGAAATTATATATCAACTCAACAAGTCATATCAAATTTTAAGGAGGCTTTCCTAGTTATTGGTCTGATTTCAGAGGGAGATCAATTTTTTCTCTTGTGACCATTTTTGAAATACTCTGATTTAAAAAAATAATAAAATAAGGCTGAATCGATAAAGTTACACCTTAACGACATAGTTTAATAAATGTAGATTCTGCTGAAATCCGAGCACTTAGCTGGGCGGTTAGCTAGTGCAAAAAAAACACCAGACAATAGAAGCTCATGGTAAAATAGGCTTCAGAAGGTCAAAGTTCATACTTCATTACTTAGATTTACATGTGATGCAGAAGTGCCTAAAAAATGGATGTGAAGTGAAACAAATGATACTATTTATCGTACTTAAACATTTTGTGGACATTTTTATTTCTTGGGTAATTTTACAATTTTTATAATTTTTTTTTTCTTTTCTGATTTTGTAATGTGTTTTAGATTGAGACTATTCATCAATAAGTGTTTTCATTGTTTTTGCAGTGGGAGACACGAGCAGGAGAGGATTCATTTCGAGGAGAACACGACACACAACAGACAACATGTTCCTCCACTCAGAGTCGGAGACTTCATACGAACGTTTCCATTTAACACGGCCACCCTGAGGGCCGCACAGCAGGAACTGGATATTAAAGTTATCACACGGGAGCTCCAGAAGCTGACGGGTCGGCTGGCTAAAGCAGACAAAAAGAGGAGGACGGAAAAAGAGGAGGAGAAGAAAGACGAAGATGAAGAAGACTTTGATTCACTGCTGTGGGGGCCAAAAGATCCTCCTCTGATTAGTCAGTGCTTGAAAAGACAATAGGTAATGTTACTATTTTATACAATTTGCTGGTTTGATTATGACCTTTTAAGCTGTGAGGTTGAAATCAAGATCTGGCACAGGAAGCATATCGACTTGCAGAGCGTGGACGTGTAATGACCCCATCTTTTGTCCGTCCTCATGAATTATTGTCGGGGTGCTTAAAGACCACTTAACAGCGTTTTATAAACCCGTATGATATGACACTAACATGATTTAAAGCGTGGACACAAAGGTGAACTCTAGATCTTCAAAACGATAGAAACACAGGTTAAGATAACAGAAATTAGATTTTTTTAAGATGTGCAGCGTATTTTACTGTTTCTTATCTATTTATGGTATTTTACAGGGTATCTGTCTCACCATGACAAAATATTTAATTATTATTAACAAACCAAATATATCAGTCTAAAGGCCTCGCACACTGAATCTTTTTTTTGCGATGCAGTTTTTTGAGCGTTTATTTTTCTAGTAATATCAAAAATTTGCAGTATGAGCCAAAACGTCTGTGAAGATTTTTCACTCCTTGAAAAAACAACAACAACAACAGGCTCGGTCCACATGAAAAACCAGACCAGAGCGAGGAGAGTTTCACCTGTCAATCAAGGAGAGTTTTGTCTTGTCGATAAAGGAGCTGCAGTTGTATTTCAGGATGGTCCAGTTTGATACGCTGCTAGCTTTACTGGAATCGCACAGTAAAAAGAAGAATACCAATATATGTGAAGCGACAGATCCTTAAGAGCGGCTGGCAGCATGTTTGAGGTAGGGGATGCTACAGACACCCACCCAAACACAATGGCCGGATGCGAAAAAACACAGAAACCTGTTCGAAAAGAAATAAAAACTGACTAAAGTTTTGGGCTCAGTGTGCAAACATGACCGACATAAAATCAGATTGTATTTCTTTTCAAGGTTCATCTATTTCGTGTGAAAATAAGACTTGGTGTGCAATGCCCTTAAAGGCTTTATATGTGATTTTTTGATCCAGCAGATGTCGCCCTTGAGCACCAGCATGAAACCAAAACAACTCGCGCTGCATTGTTGTGTTAGCATGCTAATGCTAGCGATCTTTATTATGCTGGTATCTTCACACTGCATGTAAATTTACCTGAAATGAGCGTGATCTAGAAACACAGTTAAGCAGTGAGTACAGTATGTTATTCTTCTTTTCTCTAGTCCCTCAATTAAACAACTTTTATACACGAGGGGAGGAGTCAGCAGGCCGTCCGGGCGATGTAAACAAACTGAAGATAGGACTCTGAAAACTCTGAAAACATCACAGACAGTGGGACTCGGGTGTTACACCCATTGTAGGCAGTCATGACTCACAGAGTTATTTTCAGAGGATATACTTGATTTATATTATATTTAAGTGTGAAAAATCACAGATTAAGCCTTTAAGCATTTTTCTGCAGTTCCTTTAATGCATCAGAGAGTAAACTGAGGACCAGTGGAGGGCAGCAGGTCAAAGCAGCAGTATCCAAACCTCAGCAAAAAGGTGAAAGAAGTTCACGATTAGAATGCAAAAAAGCTTCACTGCACGACTGCCAAATATGTGAGCGAGCTCAGAAATGTGTTTGTTCTCTCTTTGATGTTTAAGAAATCTGTTTTCAATAGAAGAAATACCTCCTCACCTTCTCTGTGTAACTAAAGGGGAAAATACAGTTACACACAGTTATTCAGATGATTGATGACCTCATTAAAAAACAAAGGGCATGCAGGGATTTTCAGTGGTGGAAGTTCTCATATCAAACGAAGGCTAAAACTCACTGCCTTCCAAAAGGTTTGTCACACAGGTCAGGAAGTTACAAAGATATTAACGACAACATGTATAAGGAATGTGTTGACTGTCAGTTTTAATGTTGTTTCGTATCTCTCCTTTAATGGAGAGATATATGCTGGATGTTACATTAGCACAAGTAAAAAAGTTATCAAAAATAAAACTATGAATTATTCATAAACACTGTTTCCTGAGTGGTGTTGTTGTGAATAATACATGTGTAAAATTATTTGGCATTATTCTTAATTCTGTGTTATGTCAATGTGCTGCAGATTAAAATTGTTCAAACACTACTGTTGGATTTCATACTCAATATTTTTTTATGCAATCTTACTGACAAGTAGTAACTGATTCAGTGTGTCAGATAAATGCGTTAGAGAAATAAACTGTTAAATATAAAGTAGTGAAGAAGAAGCAAAACAAATGCATAAAAGCAGTAAAGTTAATACAAATTGTACTTAATGCAATACTTAAGTAAATGTACAAAGTAACTTTCCACCGCTGGTATATTTGACCTCTTTCTGTGTCCTTCCCGGTGAGCAGTGTATGTTTGTGCAGTACTTCATCTGGCCACAGGGCAGCGCTCTGCCCTTCAGCTTCCATCAAACACCAGATCAGTGATTATCTCTGTGCCTCGCCTGCTGCTGAACAGCCTCCATCCGCTGCCTGAGGGCCTGCACACACACACACACACACACACACACACACACACACACACACACACTCTGTGTGTGTGTGTGCGTGTGACTCGTGTTGACTCTGAGGCGTGGGCGTTTGTTTGTAAATGTTTGCACAGATTTACTTCACGATGTATAACACTTCTCTTATCACACCTGAAACCTCGAGTCGCCAGCAGAAAAAAGCTTACAGCTCAAATGAGTCAAAACAAAAGTAATAAATGATGAGAGTCACAAAACATCCGGCACTGATTCCCTGCAGTTTCCAGAGTCACTCAGTGAAAGCGTTTTGGTTTTGTAAGCATCAAATACTTTAAATGATTTCTCTTTACAACTTCTTTTGGGATCATTGATGATTTATATACAGTTAAAGTTATGACTCGTACATGTATAAACATAACATAGTTAAAAAAGTACTGTCCATGCTCTGATGACACACATGACTTTAACTCAGACCACGAGTTGAAATCTTTAAAAAAAAAAAGATTGTATTACAACCAATTGCACCACCAATCACAATATTCGAAAACTGGCATCCAGCTTTATGTTTTACAGCTTTTCTTTATTTAAACCTGATACTTATCAGAGTCAGTCACTTCTGATAACTCGTCTGCCCTCCTCCCCCACAAAGAGCCGGTAACCAGCAGCGGTGTTGTGATGCATCGGGTTGAGCAGGGAGCAAGAAAATAGAGCCTTTTTAAATAGGTCATGTAGTTATGTGTTCTTGGCTTCTTTTGTTATATGACTGAATAACAGCATGGACATTACATTAGATTAAATAACATTAAGTAACAGTTAAACACATTTTCTTCTTTTTCTTCTTACCTTCATCTTTTCTTCCTCACTCATTTGTGGTGCCAGGATGCTTGCTATCTATGGACCGCAGGCGCCCCTATAGCCTTTGCCTATACCGCCACGGGCCGGCCCTGCTGGTAAGTTGTTGCTGTTTCTATGGCTGTCTATTAAAAAGCTGTGTTTTTTTTAACCACGCCTCCTGTCACAAAGTTTCAAAGAGGCATGCAAGGATTATCATTTCCAGCATGTCAAGCAGCAATTGATTTACAATGAGAGAAAAAAGCAGGCAGTGACTCGCCCAGGTCAGAGAGAGAGAGAGAGAGAGAGAGAGAGAGAGAAAACCACAAAGTAATTAAGAGGAAAATATGTGCAAACATTCAGAAGAGTGTGAATCATCGACATTTGATTTACAGAGGATTGAAAAACGTGTATTTAGAGATAACTCAGGCAACTTTTGAGTTACCCAGTGATGCCAGGATTAGTCGGACGATTACACATAATTCCCAGCAGAAGCCAGTTGCACCATTATGACACCACAAATGACAACAACAGGTACAATTCCAGTTTCACATGAACTCCAAACTCTTAACGCTGCCGTTGAAAGGCTTGAAACTGAGGGAAGTGCTGGTATTTAAGCCCTCTTTACCGACTTAATGTAAAGCAGGTGAGACCAGTTCTGCAACATGTATTCTGAAGAAAAGGGAGGTATTTATTACTACTTGAAGAAAAGCTTGGCTCTGACACAGATATGTGTAGTGCAGTGAGTTCATGAGGAGGCAGTTCAAGTCTGCCGTGTCTACGAGGAATAGTCTAGTTTGTGTAAACAGCCTCACAGGAGAGGTGGTGTTGAGAAACAGAAAAACGATGATGTCATGAGAAAAATCTAAAACAGTTTGTTAAGCAATAACGATAAAGGCCACATCAATATTTTAGGAGTCAAAAGTTGAAGTGAGAGGTTTTTTTTTTGTGTTAAATCGAAGAAACATTTCATAACAACCTTTAACAATATGTCGTTATCAAAGGGGTCTGCGAGAAATCTAGATCCCTGCACCCACTTATTCCCTCCTGTGGTCGAAGTGAAACAAGGATTAAAAGATGAAAATTCCCGTGGGAACAACTTGTGTTTGAGTATTGGCAATGACTCATAAAATAGATGAAATGTGAAGAAATTTAGTTGGAACACCAAAGGTGGTAGGAGTCATCCTCCAGGCACCAATCTGTATAAATCTGAAGTCAAAGACCCACGTTAAAAAACACACTAAAAAACAAAATAAAACAGGATCTACAGAAAACTACAGTCTCAGAAAAGCTCCACCATTGGAGCTTTTCTTGTAAAAGTCAACACTGCATTAGGTTTCAAAAAAGTGAAGGGAGACCTAAAACCAAAAGAAACATGGGTATAAATGATCCAGGCACTCAGGATGGTTGGAAAAATACAAAAGGCCTTCAATTCATCGAGCTACAAACATGAAAATACATCAACGTGTATCGGCTTGCGCCTTCTTCAGGGTGCAGTGACACACTGAGGCGAAAAAGATTTTCTTTCTTTCTTATGATTTTTTTTTGGGGGGGGCTTTTTGTGCCTTTATTGTAGAGATAGGAGAGTGGATAGAGTTGGAAATCAGGGAGCGAGAGAGTGGGGAAAGGAGCCACAGGAGGGATTTGAAGCCTCTGTACATGGTGGCGTGCGCACTAACCACTGAGCCACCAGCGCCCCTGACAAAAAGCCTTTTTGTGCGACCATCCTGAGTGCCAGGATCTGGATTATTTAAACCAATGATTTGTTTGGTCTTAAGTTTTCCATCAACTTTTTTTGAAGTTTTCCCTTCCATGAGCACCGGTGGTAATTGAGTTGATACCAGAAGCGCTCCTTGTTGTCCCTCTTTTTCACTGCATTAGGTTTATTTTGAACGCGTAAGTAGTGCCATTTGGCAGTCAAGATCCTCACATTATTTTGTGCAAATTTACTCTCTAAAAGAAAAGGATTATGAATCAGACCGGAAAAGGATACTTGCATGTTACCACGCTGATAAAATGACACCCACTGACTTCCTGGCCAATGTTGTCTGTGTCTATATGAAGGTGTATCAGATAGTGATTAACTGATACAGAAGATGTAAACCTACACACGCAAAAAACACATTTGCCTGTTATCAACACACACATGGTGTTCTAACCTGTCAGAGCTACATGATGCTTCCGCACTTCTGAGAAAATGCATAAGGACGACTTTTAAGAAGCAGAGTTTGTATTCTTGAAACAGTTTGAAAAAAAAGGCGAAAAAGCTCAGAGGACTCCTTGCCATCCCCTGAACGCATTCATGGTGTAAACATGGAGGGTGACAGTAGTTTTTAAAAAAGACGCAGAGGTGTCAAATGTATTGACATTCATTACTCAGGTAGAAGTTTAGATACTATGGATTTAAAAAGACTTCTGTAGAAGTTGAAGTATCAACTCAAGTTTTTTACTCAAGTAAAAGTGTAAAAGTACTGGTTTCAAAACTACGTAAAGTATAAAAGTAAAAGTAATGTAAAGGGGAAAAAAATTCCATTAAGGATGAAAGCTTAGGCCGCACCACAGCGTGTAGGAATGGTATATGTTTATACTTCTCATCCAACCACAATCAGATTCACTCTATCTGGATGGCGTGATTTATTTGGATAGGTTTTTGTTGTTTTTGTGTTTTTTTGAACGATGACAAGCCGGAATGAAAACAAGCCGAAATTAAATAGGATTAACGATTTTAAAATGTAAGGAGTAGAAGTAA